AGGCAGTCAGAGAAGAGACCTTGAGGATTGAGGCTAGGTCAAGGGAAAGTGTTTTGGAAGCAGTCATAGCAGATAGGGAAATTATGTTGGCACAATTCCGTCAACTAGTTCCAAATTTTGATCCCAACATGCTCAAAACCCCAATTACTCCAATTCCTTTACCGCCTCAAGAACAAAGCCCAGAAAATCCAATGTATGACAAGGCAAGCTACTCGGGGGCGACTAATATCAGACCCCAAGTTTTGGGGGAAGAAGATCCAAAGCCTGATGCTGATACTGCTGAAAAACAGCAAGATAAAATGGTTAAATCTCTGATATTTTCTATTTCTGCCTTTTAAATTTTAAATAGACGTCGCTCTTTTAAATATCCAACATTAAAATTTCAAACAATGATGGTATATCTTTACCGACGTTAGAAAACAATAATACGTCTGTTTCTTCCAAAAACCGTCGTTGTGAGTGAAATACCACGACGCTTTTACTTGTTTTGGAAAATATGGTAAACCTTATTGGCCTCGTCGGCCCGGGGCTAGTCAGCGTTCAATCTGGATCTCTATCTTACCGAACAAAACAACTGTCAGACCGCCCGAAAAAAGTAGATGGGGATCAATTTTTCTTGGTCCCTTATAATCCAGGGTTAGTCCCCTTAACTATTTAACGTATTTTCCTTGTAATATTTTTCTTTGTAGTACTATTTAACCTATATGGATCATTATGTGTTGGAGTCATTGGGTGTTGGTAATTGTGAGACCATTCAAGGAGACTGCCTATTACATGAATTCACTGCCAAACCTCTCCGTTGACGACGACATGAGAAGTATAGTGAATACGTAAGTTGATTTATTCCAATCTAAGATTTTTTTTTCCTTTACCGCATTTGAAGTATACGACGGGTTTTTATAATACCGAATTTATAATGACAATACAACGACGGTAATTTATTACTGACGTTTTAAATGATTTATTATGTCAGTATTGTCTTGAAAACGTCGTCTTAATTGAACTACCACGTCGTTTGGGTTTTATTTAAGGGAGTTTTAATTTTTTCTGTTCAATTTTTTGTTATACGACGTTTTTCCTTTTACCGACATTATAATATTACACAACAACAGTAGTTTCATACCGCTGTTTGAAACACAATACCACGTCATTTAAAAAAAAAAATGTCGTCTTCACTGATTTACCACGACAGTTACTATTTTTATTTAGATTTTCGTTTTGTCATTAACACTCTTTGTTTTCTTGTAACAGGTCAATGAAAATGTTTAACTCTCATGTAAACAAATCTTCATAATGTAAAACAGCCATTTGGAAAAATCTACAAGGCACTCCTGAACAACCAACAAGTGTAGAGTGTGGCAATTTCGTGATCCACACCTAGCTTTTGAGAAGAAGGTAAAAGGCAAAATTTAAGATATAATTTCTTTATTTTACTACGTCAACCTTTTCTTTAAAACCGTCGTTTGTATCTTTATAACACGTCTGTTTTTTCCGTTTATTTTGCAGTTTGAAAAGAAAAAAGATCGAGTTCAGTATACACAAGAACATATTGACGAAGTTAGGCATGAATGGGCAGAATTCGTTAACAAGCAATTACAGAATGATAATTGATGTACATAAATATTTATTAACAATGTTTAGGTTTATTTTAGTTTATTAAAAATGTACATAAATATTTTTGTTGTAATCAATCGAACAACCATCAAAAAAATTAAATTTTTTTTGAAATTTTTTTATTTCCCAAAAAATTCATGAAAACTTAATTTAATTCATAAAAACTTAATTTAATTCCCAAAAAACGACGTCTCATTCTAATTTACACGTCTCATATGTGTATACAATGGTCGTCTTATTATAATTGGAAATATAACATCGACGGCAATTCTTAAAAACAACATGTAACAGGAATAAACATGACGGTTTATATTTACTTCATCTTGTACGGATAAATTTTGTACCGATATACTACGTTTGTTAGTACAACCATATCGACGTCTTAATGATATACAAAGGCAGTTATCTTACAAAATTTGACGTTGTATAGTCAAACAACGGCGGTGATCCAAAACAAGATGACGTGGTAACCTAATAACCCACGGCGATGATCCAAGACAAGATGACGTGGTAACCTAATCATCCACGTCGGCGATTTAAAACAAGAGGACGTGGGAACTTGATTATCCACGTCGGTGAGTGAAAACAAGATGACGAGGTAACTTAATAATGTCGTTTTGTGTTATTCTCGACGTCTAAAACAATATAGGACGTCGTTTTGTGTTGTTTAACGTCGTTGTAAAGGGATCCAACGTCGGTTATGTCATTTGGCATTTCATTTTAATATGACTTTTATATTTTATTTAATTCCTAATATTCATAATAAATTCAAAACTAATTTCAAAAAATAAACTGACAACTACCATGCACTCATTGAAATATTGTCTCTCCCCTAAAGCTTTAAAAAATGTAATTTTACAAATATTTTTTTATTGTATTTAATTACTAATATTACTAATATTAATAATATATTTATAAAAAATCTGAAAAAATATACCGACAAATTCTATGCACTCATTGAGACAATATCTTGCCCGTAAAGGCCTGAAAAATGTAATTTTAGTTTTCAAAGTTCAAGTGATAATAAAAGTCAAAAAAATTTAGAGAGCACGATACTCCTTATACTTTACATAACATAACCCTAAGGTTTATGTGATCCATTGGTGCCCATAAATTCAAAATGATGAAATCCAGATTTTAGCCTACTATTATAGAAGACATTGTTGTAAGGAGTCCGTAGCAATTTTAGGTTCATTTTTCTCATACTTGTGTATTTTTTTATAATTATTGTAAAATTTAGGGTTTAGAGTTTATTGAAACGATGCCGGTTTTCTCTCGCTGTTTTTGGTCAACTACGTGCGTTCGAATCCCAGGAAACCCAAACCCCCACTACTACAAAAATTGAAATAGACGACGGGAATCCATTGTCTTGTAGCATGTTTTAAAACCGACGTGAAATCGACCGCCATCTTTTAATATGTAAAATAACGACAGAAAATAACCGACATCGTTAAGATATTACACGTCATAAAACAATTAAAACCGACGTCTAATTCATACAAAAATAGCTTAAAAAGACAACTTCGACTATATTAGACGACGGTTTTAGTAAAACACAGACGTTTAAAGAATGTTAAATGTCAAGAACAACTACAAAACCGACATAAAAACTATTATCCACGTCTCTAATTGAAAGAATACCGACGTGTAAAACGTAGAAACCGTCGTGGTTAACATATACTACGTTCACTAAATAAAAAAATTGACGTCTAAAACATATAACATGGCAAATTTAACATACAAAAGTACACTTTTGGACAAGGTTAGACGTCGCTTTTGTTTAAAAAAGTGACGTTTGAAAAGTTTAACATGGCACATATTTACTTGGACAAACGTAACAAACAAATAACCATGACCCTTCAGGTCACCACATACGTTGAAAATGATTTTGACGGCTTGAACAGAGAAATAAACGACGTGGATTTAATCTTGCACGTCGGTTAATGTAAAATATCTGTCATGTTTAATCCAATTACTATGGCCTAAGAGTCCCATTTTGCGACGTGGTTAATTATTTACAACGTCGGTTTTTATAGGCCTTAACGTGGTTGGCATTTTAAAAGTCTCTTTTGTGAGCCACTTGGACGTGTGTAATGTCTGAGACGTCAGTGCTTTTGGCCTAACCGTCATTAAGAAGTTATGGATTTGACGATGGTTATTGTAAAATACAGGTCGTGGTTAAGGACTTTACTATGTCCTAAGAATCCAATTCTTCGACAGTGTTATACAACTTACTACGTCGGTGGTTTGTTTATTCCATGACGTGATTAGTCTTTGATAAGTCCCTTTTATAACCTTTTTTGACGTGTCAACTGTTTTATTATAACTGACGTGCAACATTGTTTTTATGACGGTAATTATCAATTGATGGAAGTAGTGTTATCCTTAAATTCGTAGGTTTGAGCTCTATTCCGTCGTCTTATTCTTTAGTGTACGTCGTGAATTATTTTCTTTACCGTCGTTGTTGGTAAGATTTATTAACCGTGTTTAAATGAATTTTAATTAACCGACGTCTTTTCTTTTTCAAATGGCGGTTTTTATTTCATTTTTGCATTGGCGTTCCACGTCGTTTGTGAAAACCTGACGTTGGTTATTTTTTAGACTTCTCTTTTTGCGATTTTTTAACTTGACCGTCGTATTTTCAACTTTAACCCATTATTTTAAATTTTTGATTTGTCGAGCCCAAAGCCTGCAGAATGAAAATGTGATCGGAATTAAAATGATATACAGAGCTATCAATTAATGTCACACAATTAACTGCATAACTAATGTCATCCATTACAAGAATCAATCAACCCATATATCTTCACACCCATCTCTAATATTCTCACTCCCAAACTCACCCACTAGGTCATCAAATGTGTCAACATTTGGTATCCCTCTAGTAAATGACTTACACTCAATTCTAATATCACTTAGCACATTATCACCAATAACATCATTATATTCTCTATTAGGCATTGATAACACTACCGACCAACCACGATGCATTGGGTCGTCAACATAAAATACTTGTTTGACTTGAGAAGCCATAAAAAATTGGTCATTCTTATGTCCAATTTTACTCAGATCTACAAGGATAAATCCAAGTTCGTCGACTACAAGGCCCGAAGTGTTATCTATCCAATCACACATCAAGACTGGGATTCTAAACTTTTGGTAGTCAAGGTCCCAAATTTCTTGAATAACCCCATAAAAACCCATATTGGCGACAATATGGTTTTTATCCTTGGCACTAGCAACTTGCATAGTATGTGCAAGTAAATAAACTCCACTATTTTGGACAGTTCGCACATCATCTTGTGCATTGGTGTTAAATTTGACATCATTAATAAGATAGCTCCTATATGATGGCACTGCCATGCTTGGACAAGCTGCTAGCCACCTCAAATTTTCCGATATGCCATTATTCTCTTTCCCATTAAGTTCACTTTGAACCTGCAAATTAAACATATATCATAATTCAATCTAACATATAGAAAAAAAGAAAATTCAAAGTTCAATATGTCATTCAATAACATATATACCTTAAAGCGTAGCCATTGAATGAAAGTGCTATTGTGCTTATCTTGTAGCCACTTTGTTCTCTTTCTAAATTTTGGATAAGTGGTCTTGATGTGGATCATATGTTCCCTACAATTGACACGAAAAAATCAAACATTACGGTCCCTTGTATATAAGATAAACATAAAGAGTAATAATATTTAAAATGGCTACATATGAAAAATTAAACTCATATGTACTCGATATAAGGTAGGACTTCCTCCATGTTCTCCAAGACATATAGATGTGCCTGGTTCAACAAGTCCAGATCAACTAAGCTCACTGTGCAACCTGATAATGGCTTTGAAACACTCATCTTCTGGCTTGAAGGCACTCCAACTATACTAACATCAGATAAATTCTCGGTACAAAACTCTACAGTTTCTTCAGCTATATACCGCTCAGCAATGCAACCTTCGAGACGAGTACGATTCTGAACATACCCCTTTAGCACTTTCATATATCTTTCAAACGGATACATTCATCTAAAATACACTGGCCCACATAGACGAACTTCTCTGACAAGATGTACTACTAGATGAACCATGATATCAAAGAATGAAGGGGGAAAGTACTTCTCAAGCAAACACAAAGTAACTACTACATCTTCTTCCAACTTATCTAGCTTGGAAACATCTACCGTCTTTGCACATATAGCATTGAAGAAGAAGCACAATCGAGTTATTGCATACCTTGCAGGCTTCTCCAAAACAGAACGAATTGCCACAGGGAGCAATCATGAGATTTAAGGCCAAGAAGTCTTGAATCTTTTAAAGATACAAGATTTTTTATATTTGAAGAATAACCTTCAGGAACCTTCATACCATAAAAAGAATTGCAAACCGCTCTCTTCTCTGCTCTTGACAAATTCCAAGGCCCTGGAGGCAAGCGAGTACGTCTTTCTCCATACTCGGGTTGCAAATCAGTTTTGACCCAATGAGTCTAACCGAGCAGCAATCCCATCTTTATTTTTTCTAGGAATCTCTAGCAATGTACCAATGATACCATCGCAAACATTCTTCTCAATGTGCATAACATCTAGGGCATGCCTCACAGGGAGGTATTTCCAATACTCGAGATTAAAGAATTTTGATTTCTTCTTCCAACAAACTCTGTCACCATCATTCTCACCAACACTTCCCCCATTTTTTGAGCCCCGTATGTAATTAACATCTTCAACCATATGCAGCACTTCTTCTCCGGTTAATGGCTCAGGAGGCATGTCATATTCAGGTTTTCCATTAAAAGCTGCACGTTGCCTCCTATATGGATGATTGATTGGTAACCATTTTCTATGTCCAATGTAATAAATTTTGTGGCCATTTTTCAACCTGTGACTAGGTGTATCATCGCCGCATATTGGACAAGCTTTATATCATTTAACGACATAACCAGATAAGTTTCCATAGGCAGGAAAATCATTAATTGTCCACAGTAATACACCTCTGAGTGTAAAGTGTTCTCCTATGTGTGCATCATACACTCCTCTAATCCCATCCCACAGAGATTTGAAATCATCAATCAAAGGCTCTAAGTAGACGTCTATATCATTTTCGGGCTGTTTAGGACCCGAAATCAATAAGGTCAACGTCATGAACTTCCGCTTCATGCATAGCCATGGTGGGAGATTATATGTAATTAAGATAACTGGCCAACAACTGTATCTGCTACTTAAAGAACTGTGGGGATTGAATCCATCAGATGAGATAGCCAATCTCAAGTTTCTTGGCTCATTACCAAAGTTGGGCCATTTATCATCAACAAGTTTCCAAGACGGGGAATCCGCTAGATGAGACATATGACCGTCAACTGATTTTCTTACAGCATGCCAAGTCAAACTCTTAGCTGTCTTATGTGATTGAAACATCCTTTTAAACCTTGGAATTGGAGGAAAATACCACACCCCCTTCGCTGCCACACCCTCTTTCAAGAACTCATCTTTGGTTTCCTTCCACCTTGAGATACCACAAGTAGGACAATTAGTTGAATCCTCATACTCCTTCCTATACAAAATGCAGTCATTGGGACATGCGTGGATTTTCTCATAACTCATCCCTAGAGCAGACAAAGTCTTTTTTGCCTCGTACATAGAAGAAGGTAGTGTATTTCCTTCTAGAAGCAATTCTCCTTGAAGTATCAATAATTCTGTAAAACAAACATCACTCATCCCATGT